CTCGGCTCACCACAACCTCTGCCTCCTGGGTTCAGGCAATTCTCCTGCCTCAGCCTCCTGAGTAGCTGGGATTACAGGCACGTGCCACCATGCCCAGCTAATTTTTTGTATTTTCAGTAGAGACGGGGTTTCACCATTTTGACTAGGATGGTCTCGATCTCTTGACCTAGTGATCCACCCGCCTCAGCCTCCCAAAGTGCTGGGATTACAGGCTTGAGCCACCGCGCCCGGCCTCTCTTGATTTTTTTTAAAATATATTTTTATTGTGGTAAAACATATATAACAAAAATTTCCATTTTAGTCATTTTTAATTGTACAGTTCAGTGGTATTAAATATATTCGCCTTGGTTTACAACCGTCACCACCATCCCCATCTTCAGAACTTTTTCCATCTCCTTAACTTTATCAATTAAACAATAACTTCTCATTAAGCACTACACTGCAGCCCCCGGCAACTAACCATCCTACTTTGTGTCTTCATGAATTTGAGGACTCAGAACCTCAGATAAGTGGAACCGTGTAGTAATTGTCATTTTGTAAGCGAACATTCATCAGTGTTTATGCTTTTTTTCTCACATCATTTTGCTTTTTAAATTTATTTTTTATACCTGTGAAAGCAACAAAGTTTTAAAAGTCGTATAGTATTATTGGCCATACAACAAAAAGCAACATTCCCATGCCCATTCCCTCATCTCTATTTCCACTCCCAGAGAAACCATTTTAAACCTTTTAGCTAATGTGCACTGAAGCTTTGATCTCCTGGGCTTAACCTCCTGGGATCACAGGAGTACCACCAAGCATGGCTAATTTTTTTTTTTTCCAAGCCAAACTGTATCCAGCTTTATTAAAGATACTTTCCATAAACAATCATGGTATTTCAGGCAGGACATGGGCAGACAATTGTTAACAGTATACAACAACTTTCAAACTCCCTTTGATGGATTACCAAAAATCAGACAGCCACTATAAAACCCAATGAAGTCTTCATCTGATGCTCTGAACAGGGTAAGTTTAGAGTGAGGGTTGACATTTCACATTTAGCATGTTGTTTAACAGCTTTTCACGAGCCAACTCTTGATTTTCAGGAAGTGAAATGAAAATGGCAGAATTGATCTGAAGGTCCACAATCTAGAAATGGAATCACTGCTCTTTTGACAGGTGTCATCTCAGTGGCATCACTGGCAAGTCCAGATTGCCTGACACACTGGTAACCAATGACTGGGGGTCAGGTCCCAACAGATGTTTGGGCTTAAGGGAGTTAAGTCTATGCTGAAAGATGGAAAGGGAGAAGAGGACAGAAAAACAAATTTGTTTTTCCATACCACAAGGCTTTTGTGTGCCAAGGTGGCCATGTGTGTCAAAGTCAGGGAATCCCTCCTCCTAGGAGCCAAGAGGAAGTCTCTCAAAACTAGAAGGGAAAGGCATTTCCCCACATCAATCCAGCTTTGGAGGTATTCTATTAGTGACATATGCCCCTTCCCCCAAAACAACAATGAATTGTTCTGTGTGCTAACAACATAGCTTAAAAAAAAGTAAAACAAAATTCTGCATTTTTATAAACCTGGATAAAAAATAATATTTCAAACTGTATAGTCACCAGAAGTACACAGTTATCAAAAATGCACACACTTCACTTGGCATCTCCAGCACCTTCGGCTTTCTGTGCCTGGTCTGTTTTGGCATCTCCATTTTCTGCAGGGTTATTCCCTTTCTTGCCAGCATCAGCTTTTCCCTTTTTCCCTTTGGGTACCTTTTCTCCCTTCTTTGCAGGGGCCTTTTTAGGCTTGGGCTCTGGCTTTGGAGGAGCAGGTTTAGCAGATAACCTCGCGGATCTTCTCTGTGATTCGTCCTTCACCTTGGCTTTATCTCCTTTAGCATCCCCTTCAGCCTCTCTCTTGGGCATGGTGGTGATGGCGGCGGGATGTAGGCGCTGGGCGCGGGATGCAGTGGCGCATGGGCTTTGGTTGGTCAGGGGGTCGTTCTTGCCTCTTCTTTTTCACACTGCTCCAAGCATGACTAATTTTTAAAGTCTTTGTAGAGATGGTTTCTCACCATGTTGCCCAAGCTGGTTTTGAACTCCTGAGCTAAGGTGATCTTCTCACCTCAGCCTCCCAAAGTGCGGCAATTATAGGTGTGAGCTCCTGCGCCCAGCGTATTTCTCAGTTTGGGATATTAACAATTAGTTTCCTGCTATGGAAGATGAGGATTTAGTTGCTATATACATCCTTCTCCCAATGTATACACTTTTGTCTCTTAATTTTTTAACGCTTTTTGGTTAAACTAATATGTATGTAATATTTACTAAATTTAGGTAAATATTAAATAAGATGTGGCTTACATTGTTCATTTCCTGCTCTATAGCCATTCCCTCTTCTTGCTTGCTGCCAGATTCCCTCAATTTTTTAAATGGCAGAAGGCTAAGCCCCAGGATATATACCATGACTGCTCTAAGCCAGTCATAGTTTCCCCTTTGTTTGGTCTGGTGGGCATCTGAACCAGTTCTGGCCAAATGAGATGTAGAAGAAGTCTGCAAGTGGCTTCTGAGATTTTCCCCTTCAATAGAGAAAGTCCCAGGAGGAAAGCCCTGTTTGATTTCACGTTCTCCTTTCCTGCTTGGAACACTATTGTTATGAGGATGTAGGTCCATCTCAGCCTTTTTGGATGGCTTGTGGGCAAGTTACTTAATGTTTTGTTCTCCAAGCTTTCTACTTGGATGAGTAAATGCTTAATTCTAATTCTGGAAGCAGACTTAGTTAAACAGAATTTTATGATGGAGTTCCCTGTAAAAATATAGTTAAAAACTACCCTGTAAATTAACCATGTTATAGTGGACTTTCTCTGTGTGGTTTTATTTGAGCTTACATAATTTCTTAAGTATACAGCTTAGCCAGGCGCGGTGGCTCACGCCTGTAATCCCAGCACTTTGGGAGGCCGAGGCGGGTGGATCACGAGGTCAAGAGATCGAGACCATCCTGGTCAACATGGTGAAACCCCGCCTCTACTAAAACTACAAAAAATGAGCTGGGCATGGTGGCGCATGCCTGTAATCATAGCTACTCGGGAGGCTGAGGCAGGAGAATTGCCTGAACCCAGGAGACGGAGGTTGCAGTGAGCCGAGATC